AGGACCTCACCCTGGTCCAATTGGACCGCCAAACTCGAATCGCGGGAGTGGCCAGTTTCAACAAGGACACGGCAGGGAGTATGGTTCTCGGCCTGCTCCTATCGGACCACCGAACAAACAGCAAGGAATGTCACGTCAAGAACAAACACGCGCCGCTGTAGCAAATTCGGGTTGGGGAAGCCTGCCAGACAGGATTACTCAGGAGGACGCAAAGCTCGCACAAGAACAGGACGCGGAAATAGCACGAAGACGAGAGCTTGAAGGGAAGGGCCTCGCTCCAGAGGCGAGCACGACTATCAGCGAGACATGGCATGTAGTGAACTTAAATGAGGATGGAACGCGAGGAAAAGTAGTTGCCAAAGTCGGCGCTGTCCACGATTCACTACAATCACGGAAACCTGAAGAGGACGCTACGACGCGCGGCATGTTCGAAGAGCAAGAGATGGCTCGGCGAAATGTTGTTGGCAATCATCAGCAGCAATTTGATGCTTGGAGACCTACTGCTATGACACAATCACCGCCTGTCCGAGGCTCTCGATTCTTTCCAAACAACCGCGATGTTCGATTGGAAGAACAGCCTGCTCTGTTCGACAGACCGGGTTCTCCATCCCCACCTCCCCCAACCATGGCTGGGCATCCTGCCTACGATGGTGATATCACGCACCCACACGTTCTTCTTCCCCGACCTGCACCTGTTGTCAAATTGCCACCGGCGCCAGTTTTAGCACCAATTGGCCCTCCGAAGCCTACATCATTTGCGGCAGCAGTTCAGGCACCAGTTGCAACCGTTGTCAATCACAACGCAGCCTTTACGGTGCGCCCAGATTTTGGCCAGAGAGGATCACAATATCAGGATGTTCGTCGTCAGGAACCATCCGCTGGAAATTGGCAAGAACGAATCAACTCGTTGATTGGACGCAATCACTCCCCTCCAAAGTCGAATGCTCTCGCTGTTGATTCTTCCAGCAAAAATGCCTTGGAAGTTTCTCACCAGCAAAATGCTGCTACAGTCTCATTGCCATCCCACGGTTCAGAGACGGCTGCAGATGATGGTACAATCGAGTCCAAGCCGGCTGCAGAAGAATGCTTCGAGGAACAAGAGATGGGATCTTTGCCCATTATCAAAGTCCCAGACTTGGCACCAGCTCTCGCATGGAGCCCTGCACAGCCGCCACCTAAGAATCTGCCACGAAAATTCCACGTTGCGCAGACGACAAGCGCTGAGGCAATGCCATTCCCCCAGCAAATCGCAAACAACATTAGCACTGTCACTATCAAGGTTCCAGGACAAGATGAGTCCCGAAGTGTCAGTATCCCAGTCGCTGCTCGCCAGAAGAGCAACCCGCGACGAGGAGGAGGCTCTCGTGGTGGCGTTCCACGACAGTCCCACACTAGAGGCAGAGGCCGAGATACTTCGGGCGGGTTCGCGTCCCCTAGCCTCGATAATGCATCTGTTTCCTCTAGCCCAAACTCTGGTCGCGGGGGACGAGGAGGCCGAGGATATGGATCATCGAGCTGGAGCAGGCATGTCCCCACACCTGTCCACACTTAGTCGGACTAGTTTTTTGAGCACGGTGGATGGGGAGCACCTTCGCTGAAGCGTATCTCACTGTATGGACTATTTTCTTTTCACACGCAACCCCACTTTCACATCTACACTTGTAACTGTCATGAGCGGATGTTTGTTTCGTCGGCGGCCCTGCAATTTGCAAGGCGTGTACATTGTGCTAGGTGTCATTAGCTCGCTCCAAAGCGTTTGCTAGTTTGATATGAAGCACTCGATGGTGCAGACGATGACGAGCAAAAGATTCGACTGAGAGCTGTTCCCCTTTGAAGGATTCAGCGAGGTCGAGATAGCGAGATGAAACTTTATGCGATCTTGCCAGATAGCTGCGATGTCCACGGTCTCGTACCAGAGGCATTGAATAGCTACCGAATAAAACATTTCAAAATCTACAACTTGATATGTGTGAAATGAATTTGCTGTGATTTGCTGAAGTCAAGATGTCTGGTCTGGTTCTGGGTTCTGTTTGATAGGGGGTTTGATCATTGGGGCCTTTGCACCAGGTTCTGTACGTTGCTCCCTTGAGTATCGGAAATTGGGTATGAGACCAGTGTCTCGTTCATTCAGTGATATCAGCTCGAGGGATTGAGGATTACGGCGGGCCAAATGGGGCAGATTGGAAAAGTTGATAAAGAATTTGATATACAAGTCATCTTTTTAGGTTTTGATATCCCAGTTTGTATCACACTCATTGGAACTCTCCCAAATCCTGCTTGATCGAACTTTTGTCCCCTAACTTTTCCTTTCCCCCTTTCTTCCCGTCCTTCACATCCCTAATCACCCTCGCAAGCCTCACAATCGACTCCTTCAAATCCGCCTCCTCCTCCCACGCAAAACAAAGTCTGATAGATCTTTCAAACTTCACACTCGAATCCGTCGATACCTCAAAAATATGTCCGGGTGCAACAATCAAGTTCTCTTGACTTTTTGCAAGATCGGTGATACTTTCAATATTCGCGTTGTCAGGCATCTCGAGCCAGATGAAATAGCCGCCGAATACGGCTTTTTCTCCGAAGCTGACTTCGCCGATTTCGACGCCGAGGGGGACGAGGAGGGTTTGGATTGAGGTTATCATGAGGTCGTAGCGGGCTTTGTAGGCGGGGCAGAGGACGGTTTGGATGTGGGTTTCTAGTTCGCCAGTTTTGAGGAGCTCGGTCATCATTGTTGCGGCAAGTCTGCCGAGAATCAGCATCAAGTACTTTGCTTCTCCCTAGATGTCCAAATATCCCATCCTGTGATGGAATCGGAGGAAAAGGCGTGGTAAGATTACTTACTGACTCGGAGCACCTCCGCTTCTAGATGATCCACATTGCGAAAGTCCGTATGTGAACTTTGGAGTAGCTTCCGCCCATCCTGTCCTGACACCAGGTCCAGCAATTTTCGAGAACGATCCATTGGACATCGCGTTTCCAAAGCTGTCCGATGGCGGTACTGGTTCCAAAGTTCGGTCAATATCTACCAGGCGAGGGAGAAGTGCTTTGGTTAATGAGGAGGCAGAAGTTGCAGATGAGGTTGGAAATTGGAGGAAGTCGTATACGTCGTCTGTGATGATTAAGGCGTCGTATTTTCGGGCTAGTTGAACAAGTTTCTGGCGATTGGATAGGGACATGGTCTTGCCAGATGGATTTGAGAATGTTGGTACGCAGTATACTGGATGCAAGTTAGTAATAGCCATTGCATGGCGACGAGGGAAGTCTTGAATGAGTCCGGAGAAGGTCGAGCTGAGAACCCTGTCAAAACCTTTGAAGTATGTTCATCGAGAAAGAATGCGAACATCTTCTCAATCTGCAAAAGAGACAATGAGAAATTTCTTACTGATGTGACGGTAAACTTTTCCCCAAGGTGTCGTTCGTTTAAGAGTCTGCGAAGTTGGTCAACATCTGCTTATACGATATGTTGCATACAAATATTCAATAACAACCACTTTCCAGAAACACCATTCTCATTGCAGCACGTAGAGGGAAGGAACAAATCGTCCTCCAAGAGGAGTCATGTGGTATCTGTATGAAGACTTCCATTCCATGGACTGCGATTTCAAGAAAGAAGGTACGATCCATGTCCAACTTGAACACCCGGGAAAGTTGAAAGTCCAGAACAAGTCAAGGACAATGAAGTCGGGAATTTGCAAGCTTACCTTGGTCTCTCCTTCCTCAAGCTCAACCTTCTTCAACCCCTCCTCAAGTGCAACCAAATCAATCCCCTCACTTCCCTCCTCTACAGCCCTCAACTTAAGCCCCGCATCCTCGAATATTCTACAAGCAAGAAAATATGCAGGTGCAACCATCCATACTCTCGTCTTCAAAGGATCTGTGAAGACTTGTAACACACAAGCCAAATTCTGAGAAGCACCTCCCGAAATGCAAATTCGGTCCGCATCTGGCTCTCCGCCATAGAATCTGCTCATCCATTTCGCGATCTCTTCACGAAGAGGCTGATAGCCTGGATCTGGTCCATACAGAAGACCGGGTGTTGAAATTGAAGGATCTGAAAGCGCTGATTGTGCAGCTCTGAGGATGGCGGGGGTGGGTAGCAGTGAGGGGTTCGGCCATCCGCGAAGGAGGTTGATGGGCTTTTTGAGAGTCATATTTTGTGATTGCTTTTGAGAAAACAGCCTCGAGATTTGTTTATTGAAGTATTTCAAATGTCCAAGTGCTCGATGAGACTTTGATGTGAGCATGGGGAGACCAATGGGAGGAGTGGGTCAATTTGTGAAAATGTGATTTTTAGGAGGCGAATTGTCATTTTGTAAATCATGGCGTCAACGAGAAGAAAGGACATTCCGAGGGAGCAACCCAAATTTTCTTCCACCCATAAAATGAAGCTGTTGTGGCATCTCGAAATCATTTCACCTTCAGCAAATTACTCTTTGAATGGGTTTTCATAAAAAGATGCTCCTAGAAATTGGTTTGAATGTCTGTAAGTGGGATGTCCGCTACTATCCAGCCCGCCATCGAGCCGTGTCGAATAACACGCACTATTGCGTATACTTGAGAACACCTTAACTCAAAGCATTGATATCCACTGTGAGCCCAAACGATCAACGGTCAAAGAAAGAGCTTCGGTCCAGCACCATCCCAAGTAATTGTCAAGTGTTCATTGTAATATAAAGGCTTCAGGGCTGGGAAATTACGTTGCTCCAACTTCCAAAAAGCGAGCGTACTGATTGCATTCGTTTCCTCTCTTGAAGTTGATGGAGTAATCTTACCACCACCAACCAAAATCACAACCATACAGTTGTTGAAGGGACCCCATGCATACAGGCATGTTGTTCATCATGAAAGACTGTTCCTACGTTGAGAGGTGTTAAATCCTCGCTTAATCCCGCAAAAACTTCCAATATCAAAAAATACCACGCCAACTTCAAAATATTATATCTTCACCATTTCTTAAAGCTTTCCCTTGGTCTCTGGAGAGTTTAAAGGGCAAAAAAGAAAGCTGATCAGGCTGGGGCTCGATCCCAGGACCTTCTCGGTTTATTGTTACAGTTGTGAGACTGTTAACCTGCATAGGCTGTTAGAGATTGTGAAGAAGCCGAAGCCTAGGTTGGATTGGGGAGCCCTACGAGATGTGATAACCAACTACACCACCCGACCATGTTGATGAACACGGAAGGGCTTATTTAAATCTATACGTGCTATAAAAATGTTTGTGGGGCATTTTCCCGTCTGGGTTTGGAGACCCGAGAATGACGGGCTAAGCGAGACACACCCCACCTTCCAGGGCTCTGGCTGACCTAAGAGCTTCATTGTGATAATGATTTGTGGACAAGGTAAGGAGAATGCGTCTGGAATAGCTTTGGACAAAGGTGCTATATAAAATCATGCATTTCCGTCTTGCGGAGTGCAAGTCATTAAAGCAATAAGCAATTGTCTCTTCAAAGACCCTGGAACACTAACTATGGCCAATATTAGAGACACACAACGCAGCAACCTTGGGCAAAACATTGTCTTGACATCAGACGTACATTGGGATGGAGCTCTTAAGCCTTTCATAGAATTACATTGAACAGGTCTAATCCATCACTAACGTCCCGCCTTGGGTGCCGATCGTGACAACTTGAACAAGAGTCGAATGTCCCGGTACCGTAAGTGCTTTCATTTTCCCCCCAACTTCAATAACTTCTTCCATTCACGTTTGTGATAAGTTCAGGTACACACGAATGTCCCCGACTTTCCAGTACGTTGGTATGTTGCTTTTCTCGTACGCTACGAGGTGTCTCAAGTGCATAGCGAATACAGTCTTTTCAATCCACAGTCTCCAAGTCCCCAGTAGATCTCAGACCATGGACTCAAGCAACATCTCAAATTGTGCACAATTTCAATTCACTTCATTCATCTGACACGAAGTCTTCGCAATAATATCTGACATCTTCCTGGACATTAGCGTTCTGTCTCCAAACACATTTCAAGTTGAACTTACCTGTTCAGCAACAGCATAAACAATAGCTTGGTAATGCGCCGCAATCGGAAACGGAAAAACACTCGCATCAATAACCCTCAATCCATCGACCCCCTTCACTCTACACTCCGTATCAACCACCGCCCCCATCGCACAAGTCCCACTTCCATGGAAGACTGTTTCCACTGTATTCAAAAGTCGCTTTCTCAGCGCCTCGTCAGAAAGATCATTACGGATGTCCTCGTCAATTGCGTACTCGACAGCGCCGTATTTTGAGACTGCTGAGGACTTTTGGATGGCAGTGCTGGTTCGACGAGTCAAGTCGTAGACGAGTTGCAAGTCGACGGGATGTTCGAAGATTGCTGGGTCAATAAGGGGTGGATCTTCTGGTGATGCCGAGGAGAGTTGGACGCTGCCACGTGAGGAGGGTGCAACGAGGATATTGAAGAAGGTGAAGACGGAGGAGTCTACCGGAGGCTGGAGAAGACCAGTGAGGTCTATATGGCCATGCCTACAATCTGTTAGCAAACCAGTTTTGATATTATAGTTGTGACTTACATTGTCAGAGTTTCGGTATGAGGTCGACCTGGCAATTGAAATCTCTCAATTGCTTTTCCATCCAAGGTCTTTTTTGCCAGAGCCGTTGTCTTTTCGTCATCGTGTCTGTGGAAGGACAGAAAATCGCAGCCTACCCCAGCTGTCCAATCTACTTCCGGAGAGATCATCTCCATGTCGCCAAGGGCAAGATTACGATCTCGGACTTTCCAAAACGTGGCGATGAAAGGATGATCTGAGAAGTTTTCTCCCACTGGTAGATCGACTAGCTGTGGGATCTTGTGCTTTTCTAGTTCCGCGTTGGGTCCGATGCCACTGGGGATGTCAGTACTCACTGGAGAAAGGCGAAGGAAGCTCACCTGAGCAGAAGAAGCTTGGCAGAATTTTGCACACCGGCTGTGACCAGGACTTCTTTTTTCACCAGAGCACGAGTTCCATTGTGATTATTGGGGAGAACCTCGATAGCAGTGACTTTCTTTCTGGAGAAAAGAAGTTTCGACACTTGGGTATTGTCCCAGAGAGTGACGTTTGGTCCTCGCTTGTAGGATGTTGCTGCCCATTTTCTTTCTCCATTGAACGTGTTGTTCGGATATTCGCCGTACCCAACTTTGCAAAACACATATTAGTCTCTCGCATTCGACTTTGAAATAGCTATTTTTGCTTTCGAATGCTTCAAAATTGTCACTTACATGGACTTCCCGAGTTCAGATCGGGGTTGAATGGCATTCCTGCCTTGTCATATATGTCTTGCATCATGGACTTCAAAGGGTAGTTTCTGGGACCACCGGCTGATGAGGAGACATGAGAGACTGTGATAGGTCCATCGTAGCCATGAATATCGGGTCGATTCTCTTGGCTACCACTCTTGGGAGGTATGAAAGTTTCGGTCTTCTTGAAGTAGGGTAGGAGTCCCTCCCATGACCATCGTTTGTCGCCAACTTCCGAAGCCCATCGGTCACTGTTGGACAGTTAGATTATGATTCGAATGTGAGCGGACAAGGCTTACAAATCTGGTGCTGCGCCACGTGTCCAGGCCTGGTAGTTGATGGCAGCGCAGCCACCAAGGACTTTCCCTTCTAGAAGATGGGGGAGTCAGCGATTACCCTTTCAAGAATGCTTCAGGAGAATGTCTTAGGAGAAATATCATGAGATATCCCAAAGAGGAAAAAAAGGTGTATCCCCCGATTACTCACGAGTTTGACTTACCTATTGGCCATCAGCATGCAAATTTTTGGCTTCGTAAAGTGTTACAAAACACAAGATTCAGAGTCGAATAACCGCGGGCGGGGTATGACTCACAGTTCCGCCATCAAGCGCTTTCTGTGGCACCGAACGATGGTTCCATTGAATATCAGTTGTATCTGAGAGAGCAACTCCCATACTCGGAGCAATTCGAGCATCATGCTCAGGTCCGGCTTCAATGAGGAGGATCGAGTCCTTCGGCAATGCTTCTGAGAGCCGAGACGCCAAAGCACACCCCGCAACTCCACCTCCAACAATGATATAGTCAAAAGTAGGACTCGCCATAATTTATTGGAACACAATAACTCAAACAATTCCAGTGAGGAATGTTTCTGTTTTAATAACTTTCTTTACGTACAACCACCAGATCTGCACCAATAGGCTATATGCCGGATGCTACACGTGATGCGTAAGGATGCAACGAGACAGTATGATCCAGAAGTACACGTAGGTTCTGATCTGACCTCAGCACAAGTTCAGGGCAGATATCCGGTCAACTCGGACTTTGACGAACCAGGGTAAGATGAACTTCAACCATTGCACCGTCTCTGCGACCGTCTCGGCCGTATATGCGGACGGCTCATACAGTTCAGCTCGTATGATCTTACCAATGGAAGTGCTTCATAGACCACGGTGCGAGAAAGACTACACGAACATACCCATACACTAGTATGATGTTCGCCATGTACATACTCGGGGTTCCTGGTCTTTAAAAAAGCGCCGAGTGACGAGATAGGTTTGGAGTACGAATGGGGTTCGGATGCATTGAAGCGTCTCACCGCATTACACGGTAGCACCACAAGCATTGAACTAATGATAGGAGCTCTCCGAGCGGAGTAAGAGGCGGTCGATTTCATGCATCGTTGAAGAAGAGATTAAAGAGTTCAAGGAAAAATGTTGAAGGAGGACAAATAATAATCCGAGAACCCCGAATACGACTAGCGATTACATAAGCAAATACACTAACACCTCAATATCGACAACTCGAAAATACCAAGCTCCCCACCGACTTCAACCAAAATGTTCGAACCCATTCGATGTTTTCACAAAACAATCTACCGCGAGCGGCAATCTTCATTGGAAGGCTTGCTCAAAGCAATTTCTATCTGAAGCTAGCGATTTTCCTGCCAACAATTTGTTCCTGAACCTCGACATTGTCCTCGAACTTCGAAGCCCCCGACGTCTAAATACTCGACCTCGACGAGGTTGATCGACAACTCTCGGCTATACACATTTCGATCGGATAAATTTTGGACCTTACTCTCCCTTGCTAGCGGTTACGGCATCGCTCGTGCTGCTTTCCAGCCCCTTGTTTGTAGGCTTTGATGCCAGGAACGGCTGTTTCCGTCAGTAGAGTAACATACCTACTTGTTCTGGCACACATCCGCGGATCGTTCCTCTTGTTCTTGACTTAATTGTCTACGGTTTCGGAATGGCGGATTGTTCTCCCACTTCATTTTCATGGGCAAACGAGAATTTCCAAGAACGATTGCTGAAGCTTTTGTATATCTCAGAATGCTGGCTGAAGCTGGCATCATCTCAACATAATTATGCATGCCGATGGTAAGCAAGGACTTATCTCTGAAAGACAGCTTTCCCAATACAAGTCCAAACGGCTGGTTGTGGATCTTGTTATTGCAAGCGCGGGTGCTGCGATGGCACAGAGAATGCACCAATCTTCTCCAGCGACACGAGACAAATGCCTTGCCACTGTTGCCTGAAGCATATGATCTGATGGCAGAAGACCACAGAGCTTCCAACTCCTGTAATTCTTTGAATTGGTTTCAATGATCTAGGCAGATTTGGGACATTCCGACCTCAATTCCTCGTACATCCTGGTTCTCATCAGCAGTAGTACTGGGAGTTGCTGGATCGCTGACCATACTCTAGACAATTTTAGGCTGCAAAATTGTGGTCTTTGAAAAGTCGGAGACATCACGTACCATGTTTGACTGCCAGAAAAACATGGCAACAAGCAGGAAACTCTGTCAGTGTCTTGAATGAACCACCGGTCTCAGTAAATCTGAGTCTGTAATATTTAAGGAGCTGCGGCCCACATGCAGTTCAACTTCTGCGCAGAACATCAAGTTACTTCCTTCGCAGGACAAGAGAACAGCATCAAACACTCTTAGCAACCGATCTCAACACCATGGCGAGCGACAACGAGAGCACCAGAAGCTCCGACTCCGGCTCGGAGTCGGGAGGCGACGTCGACGCATCACTCAGAAGCATTAGCAATCTCAAGCTGGAGCATCTCAAGAAAGAGTTAGGCAAGGCCGGCATTAAATTCGAAGAAAAGGCTCCAAAGCCGGAGCTTCAAGCCATCTTGGCCCTGTGGACACTTGGCCGTCTTGTCTCGGGCCAGACAACCAACCAAGACGCCGCCCAGACTATCGAA